GTATATTTCTAAGTTTCATCTTCACATGTCTTGATGACTTTTAGGAACAACAAAGGCAAATCTTGATGTATTTTAGAGTTAACTTAACAAAGAGGATACATTTCAGAAATGTCTTTATTTGTTGGAACTTAATTATTGCAAGAATGCCTAAGCCGCCTACAAGATATCCAGAGTTGTATTTGAGAGTATTAGAAAGGGAAATCACATTACAAAATGTAATTATGACACTAACAAAATAATGTGAAATGATGCATCTGGTGGACTGGAGACAGACAGGGAAATGTGGGGAGGAGACCCAGGTTGTCTATACCCCTTTGGGAATGATCTGTGAGCCCGTGGGGAGGGAAGGAGGTGGCACATTTGCTGAGCAGAGCTAGCCAAGGCAGCTCAGGCCAGCCTAGCCCATGGTTTCTGAGAAAAAAATCATGAAGAGCAGACCATCAGCATGCCAGCAACAGCACCTTAGGGCCCAGCTTCAGGAAGGTGTGGCAAGACTTATACAAGAGTTTTATATCAGATTGTGCCAAATGTTGTTTTCAGAAAGGGTTAGAGGCCAGGAGGGAATAGCCAGCAGGAGCTAAGGTAGTGGTGCAGTCATTTGGAAAGAAAAGTCCAGAAAGGGCAGGCTGGTGACTGGAGTCTCCCAGTTGGCCTTCAGGGGCTCGCCTTTGCACAAAGAATAAAATCCAGGGGCCTCCCCGGTGGTGCAGTGGTTGAGTGCTGGGTTGCGAAGCTGCCCGCAGCCTCTGCAGCGCTGGTTCGATTCCGGCTGCTCCCCGGCCACCGGAGGAGGGTCCCACGTGGCGCGCAGACCTCTCCTGCCGCCCGCTGCTCCCCTCAGCAGTGTACTTCGGTCCTTCTGCCTGCTCTGCTTCCAGCTCTGGCTCTGGTGAATTCTCTCACCCTCCCGCGCTTCTGACTGTACCCAGTGCTTGTATAAATAAATAAATAAATCTTAAAAAAAAAAAAAGATGTAAAAACAAATTAAAAAAGAAAAGAAAAGAGAGCAGCTTAAAAAAAAAAAAGAAAAGAATAAAATCCAGCTCTCCATGGCATAAATGGCCCTGCACAACCTGTCTGGCCTTGGAACACCTCCTTCACCTCTTCTGCCATTCACCCAAATCATACCTCTGAGCTTCTTCAGAACCTTGTGTCCTGTTTTTGGTCCTTCCTCTGCCCTCAGGTGCTTTTTCCTCTACATGTCAGTACGTCAGCCACTCCCTTTGTCTACAAGGCCCTGCTGGATTCTGTCCTTCCTGGGTTGGGCCACGACTCCATTCTTCTGCTTTGGCCTTCCCATAGCTGCAGGTGGGCCCTGGAGGCCAAGGTTGTCCAGTGTGAGCTTCCCCTTCCCAAGTGACAGACAGGAATGGTGGAGCTGCCGAAGAGAAGTGAACTCCTTCTCTTCACACCTCACACCTCCTGCCCAGCCAGGACCTCTGCCCGTGATACCTTCCCTTACATCACCATTTGGGAAGCTTTCCCTCAGAATCTGAGAACCTGTCAAATGGTCACTCCTCTGTGTGACTCGCACCCTGGCCTCCCGCAGTCTTTTGTTCCTCAAACATTCACCAAATATTTATTAAGCTATGCTGCTGTCAGTCGCTGAGATATGTTTACCACCCTCTTTTCTGTTACTGTCTCATGGGCTTTTTTATTAAATTTAGGACCTTAACTTATTCATCCAGATATCCCCAGTTTCTGGAAACGTTTTGGGGACACAGTAAACTCTTCATATATTTATTTGAAAAAATAAATAAGCTTTACTATAACGAAAGTTGATCTCCAAGAAATCCCTAAATCTTCAAGGCTGGGAGGCAGGCTGGAGGACTCACCTACCTGGTTTCCCCAGGATCGAGGGGATACGGGAATTTTAATTTTAAAACTATCTAGTTTTAATTTTAAAACTAACTAGGGGTTACTTGGTACTCAGAACTTTCAGTGCTAAAACCAGGATGAGTTGGTCATTCTCAAGATCAGCACTGAATTTGATGGAGGGAAAAGTCGCCTACATCTGAATTCCATAGCCAGGGTCACTCACAGAACAAGATTGGAGATAGGAGGAGGATGTTTCCAGCTGTTTCTCATGGGCTGTTAGACCCTGATGGACAGGGTCTGCAGCTGGGCAAGAAACAAGATTTTACTCTTCACACTGCAATGATCAGACCAAAAGGAATTTAATTAAACCTTATAAATGATGGATCATAAATCAGAATGTCAATTAAAAACGTTCCTGTTCATTGCCAAGGGCAGTCCCTTCCTTGCTTAAATACCCAAGAGGGAATGGAAAGCTAGTGGTAGGGGTGGGCATTAAGGTTTGGGGGTCAGTGGGTTGTATGTTGCATTTTAATGGACTCTTTCACAGAGTGCCCCTCCCAGGGAGCTCTGGAATGCTTGCCTGGCGGAGACCAGGGAGAAGGCTCTACAGACTGACTCACCAACCAACTCTGCCCACAGTCCAGTGCTCCCTACCCACTCTGCCTCGTCTTGGTACTTTCCAAAGTTATGATCCCTAAGTTTCACATTCCTCAGCACCACTCTTCTGAGTTCTGTGCTTTCTGCTACTAAGTCTGTTTCAAGCATGTTCAAGGGTCCCAGGATCACATCATGCTGAGCGTTCTGGGAACATTACCTTTAAATGTCTCATTTCCTCTCGTTTTAATATAAGGTGGTTCCTGTCCCTGGCTTGAGCTGTCTGCTTTCTTGCCAGCTTTTCCACAGCAGCCCTTGTCTCTCACGGGTACAGTTACTTCTGTGGTTTCAGTCTCTCCCGGCCACAGGGATTTTTCACCACCAGCACCACCTGCTGCCTTGACTCCCAGAGGCCTCCCTCACTCCCCACCTGGCCTCCTCACTGCCCTCTAGTTGACACACTTTGGGGTTTGCTGCTGGCCAAGAACAGGGAGGGGCTACTCTGGTGTGGGGGGGATGGGTGTTCTGGAAATAGCCTTGGGGGAGGGGCCTGGCTCTGAAGCTGGCACTGAGGTGTCTGTACTTGTCATTAGCAGACAGAAAAAGGAGCCATCTCTGTAGGTCCAGTTCTCTCTGCAGGGAGGCCCAGCTGCCCAGGAAGCCACCCTCCGAGGCTGGAGACTAGAGTATTAGACACACACAGCTTTTAATCTGGATTCTTGGGGTGCTTCCTCCCACCTGGGGCTCCACTCTCTTATAAATGGGTTCTAAGGCCCTGACATGGTTTGTGCCACTTACACACAGCATTCTCACCACATCTGGCACCTCATGATCTCCCACTCAGCACCAGCCATTTGTGTAGATGTCCCAGGGTTAAAGGTTGGTGATCAAGGGCAGGGGCGGTAAAGGGAGAGCAGCAAGGCAAGCTGCCCAGTGGCCTGGGGGTGGGAGGGGGAGCCAAGAAGGGACCAGGCACACACTGGTTTGCTCTGAAGTCACCATCTTCCTGACTGGAGAACTGTTAGCTGCTTAACACCCACAGCCTCCTTCAGACCCTGGCAACTGCAAGTGACAGACTCGTGCTTTGGCTGTGGTGGTGATAGGTGGCCTTCCTGCCACCTATCAGGCAGTCTGCTCACTGCCCAGCAGTCCTGCAAGGGTCCCCTTTGTTTCTAAGGGTCCGACCTGGTTGTTGTTCACTGGTCACAGCCAGTGCTTTATTTTGGATAAATAGGTTCATGGAAGGAAAAGTGTATCATCCCCAGGTCAGTAATAAGCAAGTGCACTTTCTAACATTAAAGAGGAAAAAAATCTCAATTTGCTCCAAGGTCGTGGGTACTCTTCCACTCTCTAGGGGAGTCACGGGAACCTTTTTGGGCTGTGTTTCACCTTCATGCTGAGCCAGCCCCAAGCCTTTTGACCCCCTGGGTCTAATCTCTGGCTTTGGCCCCAGATATCCTGGGGTAGTAAGGGAAAGAAGGATACACGGGTTCACAGTTACCCTGACCTGGGTGACAGGGATTCTTTGCAGGTGAACCTGAAGCCAGTTTGGGCTGACAGCCTCCTCCAGGGCCGTGCCTGCCCTGTGTGCATAGGTGATCAAAGCCCTCTCATGTTCTGACAACCCTGGGTCCATTCAATGGCTCTACAGACCTCAACTGGGATGTCTCCACACCAGCCCTATAAGAGATCACAAAAGGCAAGATGTGCAATGGTTAGGAACACAGATGCCCAATCGAACCAGGCTTTGTCATTTACTAGCTGGGGGACTTGCAAATAACCGCTCTCATTTATAAAACGGGATCAATACTTTCTTTTGCTTCAGAGAGTCGTGATGTGCTTAGCAGTGTACATGCACATGGCATCTAATGCTATTGTACACTCCTCACCTTTGGGTTGTAGGAGGGCCTAAGAGGGGCCCCGGACAATCTGCCAGTCCAGGTTCAATCTGCTTTGGCCTTTTGATCCTTTTATGACCGCTCCCTACCTATTTGCTATTTCCTTGCCATCTTCTATCAAAAATGTAAAGCACTGGCCCTTTCAAAAACTGCAGACCAGAGAACAATGTCATGGCACCCTTGGTATAGGCCCACTTTTGGTCCTTTTTTAGTCTAGACTTCGGATTTGAGCTCTTGATTATCTTGGACTTCAGCTGCCTGGTCACTGGTTTGTCCTGGACTGGCTCAGGGGCACCCCCTATAAGAAGCCTAAAGGCACTGGGGGCCCTTGCTTGGCCAGGGCCTGGGGGCGGGGCTGGGGGTACAGGTCTTCTGTTGTGATGATCAATGCTGATGGAGGAAGTTGGAACTGGTGGAATGTTCTCTTGATACAGGGAAGGGTGGGAGGGATCAAAGGTCACAGTGTCAGACAGAGAGCAAGGTAATATCTAGGATCTTTTTACTCTGGAAAGGAATTTCTCAGGTGGGTTAATCCTACACATATTCTCCTAATCTAGGCAGAAGGAAAAGCTCCGGGAGGCTTTTTCCTCAGAGTATAAGAGGCTACAGAAGACCATCAGAGTGATGGAGAAAGAACACAGGCAACCCCTTCCCCAGTTCTCTAAGTCTTCAAAGAAACCAGTGACTTGATTTATATCCAGTGCTTTATTAAAACATAAATAGCCTCATAAGAGGAGAAGTAAACGTGTCCCCAAGCTAACCAAGAGTACACGGACGTGTGTTCATGAGAAAGATATGTGTGAGGTCCCTGATCTGTGCTCTGAGGGGGTGGTCCGTCAGGCAGGGCCTGGGTCCACCAGTAAGGCAGATGAGGGTCCCAGTCCAGGGGGACTCACTGCTCCTGAGTTCCCCAGGAGATGTAGTCCGGCCGTGTGGCCGCGTGGTACTCGTCAATCAGCTGCTGCACAATCTCCCTGGATGTGTCCAGCTCGTCAAAGTTCTCCTTGAAGATGTCCTCCTTGCGGAACTGCTCCAGGAAGGCCTCCCGCTTCCGCAGCTTGTCGTACTGACGACAGGTCCGCTCGAAAAGCTTGGGGTGTAGAGAAAACGGGTCACTTTGAAGACAATATGGTTCAGAAAGCTAGGGAACCAAGGCTGGGAGATCTCCAGAGTGAAAAACAAGTCAGAAGCAGGGCAGCAGGGATGCAGAGAGGCGAGGGACAAACAGGAAATTGATTGGGGCCAATCAGTGCAAACTGGGAGCCTCACCGAGGAGATGCTGGTGTGGTTGGCCATCATGAGCCCGCTGACCCGATGGGCCGAGGGCAGGTAGGGAGACTTCCTGGACAGGGCCACCTGGATGCTGGCTGGGCCCCAGGGGATGAAGTTGGCCAACTTCCTTTCCCGGATCCTCTGCAGGCTCTTGTGGACCTGGGGTGGGCACACGAGTGGTGGTGGTAGCCTCTCCTCTACCCTGTGGAGTGTGGGGTGGAATGAAGGGGCCTCACCTACCTGGGTGGGGTCCACCTCGCCCTGGATGATGTTGAGGATGGCGATGTAGCAGTGGTTGGTCTGGCGGTCCCGGCCTGTGGACACCATCACGTTCTTGGGCTGTAGCAGCCGCCTCATGACATCCAGGACCGTGGTCTTCCTCACGCTGGCCACCTGAGGGGACCATGGGCCGCAGGAGCCAGGCAGGCACTCAGGACCCAGTGCAGAGTGGAGAAGGCACACATGTCCTCCCTCACACCACGGGGGATAGTCCCTTTGGGCTTCTGCCGTAGGTCTGGGGGCCGTAGCCCTCATCAGCCCAGCAAACTCAGGCCCTTGCCAGGAGCATAAGCAGACCCCACACAGCACAGGCCCCACAGGGAGCCAGGGGCACAGGGAAGAGGCTAGGAGGCCAGGGAGAAAGTCGTACACATGTGCCCCCAGTGCGGAGCCTTGGGAGGCTGCCAGGGCAGCTCCTGGGACAGCAGGGAGAGGGCAGAGGCCAGGTCAGGCCCCCTGGGTTCAGGGGCAGCAAGGGCAGGGCTGCTAGGGGCCACTCTCACCGACTGGTCTGTGGTGAGGGGCGTGTAGCCAGTCATGAGGAAGTGCAGGCGAGGGGTAGGAATGAGCGAGGCGATGAGGCCGATGAGGTCGTTGTTCATGTAGCCGGGATAGCGCAGGGTGGTGGTGCTGGCCGACATGATGGTGGACACCTGGGGACACAGTGCCCTGTCATGGGCTATGCCTGGGGGACCACCCTTCCCCAGATATCACTTGGGCAAGGAGGGCCTCGAGTCCCTAAGAGTGCAGGAGCGGGGCTCACCAGCTGGTTGATCTGGGAGAAGGACGGGTTCTGGATGTGCAGGCGGTCCGTAGCAATCCTGTTCAGGGCTGTGTTGTCCAGCACCACCTGGGGGAACAGAAAAGGTAGCAGATTTGTGGAAACCAAAGGAAGAAAAACTCTGCTGAACCTGGCTCCTTTGAACTTCATGGCCAAAAAGACCCATACAAAAGGGATGTGCACAGGACAGATGCAAGCAAGGTCTAAAAATGGACTTTTTAAATGCATGGAAATGACTGAATCGATAGGGGCTTGGGAGTAAGGAAAGGCAGACTCCAGGTCTCACCACACAGTCTGCATTCTGGGTCAGCCTCTTGAGCGTGAGCAGTGAGTTGTAGGGCTGGACCACCACATCGCTCATCTCGTCCTGGTTGGGAAACACTGAATAGGTCTGCACTAGCTTCTTGGGGTACCTGGGGGTTAGAAGAGGATCAGGGCAACACATGGGAGGCTTGGTAAACATGGGGCCCAAACAAGTGTCAGGACACAGCTAAATCAGGATAGGGGAACTGGAGTGTGATCACAGGTCAACAGAGAAGAGAGTCAACTTTTGGAAATCTGTTACCGTAGCGTAGGAAGCACAGAGAGACCTCTTAGGATTGAGGGTTCTCATTGCATTCATAGTCTGCAATTCCACTGACAGCCTAGATTCTAGGGTCTAGTCCCAAATCCGGGGTTCTCGATGGTTCTACCTTTGCTTTCCTCACCATAGGAGAGAACAGAAAAGTGTGTTCTTGCTCCAGTTAATAGAAAGGCCTCCCTTTCACTTAGGAAACCAAGTCTACCCAGCCCCTCAAAACACAGACTTACCTGTCATTCAACCGTTCTAAGAGGTAGGAGCCCAGGCCGGAACCCGTCCCCCCAGCGATGGAGTGGCACAGCACAAAGCCCTGCTCGGGGAAGTGGCAGTCAGCATCTAGCTCTCTAGTGGCAGAATTTCAAACTAGATTTATCACACAATTTCTTGGACTCCTATCTGTCTGAGCCTTCTTCTCATATCCCTCCCCAACACAGATAGCTTCGGAGGCTCTACCTTGTTCTACAAGGTCTGGTGGCTTCTGTCTAGTGCTTAGGCTGTGTCTGCCCTTTTGAGTGGGAATGAGGTGACCCTGTGCACAGGCATGTGGTGGTAGGTCTGGTATCTGACAGAGCTTCTAAGGGGTGCTGCCAAGCCTTCCTTATGTTAGCTCCCACCAGCATTCCCAAGACACTCACCTCTAGACTGTCACTGCCATCTGCCTCCCGGTCTATGATGTCGAAAATGTCCTCGTGGATCTTCTCTCCCTGTAGACATGGGGAAGGTCAGAGTGGGACAGGACCATGGGACAAGGACTCTGACCTCAGAATAGCCACCTTGATTCTCCTTACTCAAAAGTCCTTTTTGGAGCACAGCTGCCCTGCTTCTCATTTGTATTGAGGCAGTACAGCATAGTGGTGACGAGCATCCATGTGGCCATCTCCAGTTCTGCTAGCTGAGTGACTTTGGGCAGGTTACTTAATTTGTCAATACATGGACTTTCTCCCCTGCATAATGCAGGTAATGAAAAAGACAGGTCCACAGTCCCTTATCTGAAATCCCTGGGGCTAGTTGTTTCAGAACTCAAATATTTCAGAATCTAGGAAGGTTATATGGTACATATAATGTATGTTGAATAAAACACCAGTGGGCATGTGAGGTGTGCTAGTCTAACATGTTCATATTTCCGCCATGAAAGGTACTGAATAATGACAATTGGATAGAAACTATAAAACCGCCTGTTTCCATTGAGACTCGCTTTTGCTTATAACTTTTTAAATGAGTTATAAACTGTCTTTTGGTTTTCTTTTTTTGGGTTTTGGAAACGCAGATAAGAGATGGCAGGCCTGTAGTACCTACCTTTAGGGTTGTTGGGAGGTTTAAATAAGTTAATATGTATAGTTAGTATGGCCTGCACAAAGCAATAGCTATGTAGGCCCTTAAGACTATCACATAGTTGAATTAGAAAACACAACTCCCCTCAGTCATGTCTCTCTCCCTCCAGCACTTTATATCGTTGATCTGGCTTCATCTCTCTGACAAGTCATAGGGCCTGGCCCCAAAATGTGGACTCTGCTAGGGGATAGCAACCTGAGAGAATCCGCTGGCCCAGTTGTTGCCAGCTCCTCCTCCATGCTCAGACAGGTAGATGTTCTCTGGGTTGTAGAGCTTGGCATAGGGGGAGTTGAGGATGGAGTGGATCACCCGCGGCTCCAGGTCCAGCAGCACCGCCCTGGGGATGTAGTGCTCATCGTCTGCCTGTCAGGGGAGTCCAGAGGGCACCCCATCAGCTGGGGCCTGCCCAGTCCTCTGTCCTCCCAGCTCTGGCTCCTGCCTGCCCTTCCCCCTCAAGCCAGCTGCCCAGGCCGCTGCCCATCCTTTAGGGCGCCGGGCCACTGTCGGCCCTGGCCAAGTCGCTGGGGGCACCTGGTAGAAAAAGACGTCCTTGCGGTCAGTGCCCTCGGTGGCGAACTCCTCCACGATGCCCTCGGGGCTGATACCATGCTCGGCGCACAGTTGTTTCCAGAACTCGAACCCAACTGCGGGGGAGGGGCGGAAGGGGAGAAAGAGGATATCTGGGTCTGGGCAGGTTCCAGTTAGCAGCTAGGGGACAGAGCGCCTGGGTCCAAGGATAGGAAGTCATGCTTCGGGAGTCGCCCGAGTCTGAGAAACGGGCTGCATGCTAGTGACTGCGCAGGGGAGGTCCCCTAGAGGTTGGACAACTGGACACTGGTCAGGCGGGTCCCGCCTTTCCGAGTACCACGATTCTGGAAAGGGCAGATGGAATCCAGGCGCCCACAGCAAGATCCCACAGAACCTAAGGCACCTGGCTAGTGGGGGGACCGGAGTTTCGCTCACTCTGATTGCCGCACTGGCCCAACTGTAGGGTGATGATTTCCCTCGGCATCGCTCCTCAGGCACCGGCGTTGCAGCCGCTCGCGCCAGCAAAGTCGCAGCCTTCCAGCCCGCTCGCTGCACGACGCAGGCGCCAAACAAACCGCTCCGCCCGCGAACTTTCTCCGTTCCAATGAGAACTGAGTTCTGGCGAAGGAACTTCCTCGTTCGCTTGGCTTCAGGCCTACCGACGGCGCATGCGCAGCTCCGGGTCCAGCTCGGCGCGCGGGTGCGCGGGACGTACTTAAGCTGCGTCCGCCCTTCTGGGTGGGAACGAGGTGAGCCTGTGCGCAGGCGCGCGGTGGAGGGCAGGGCCTCCCCGCCGAGTGGCGCGTCTGCGCAGTGGGTGTTATTGTGACTGTCGGGCCGCGGCCCCGGATGTTGTGGCTGCATGGGGGACATGGCGGAGGCAGAGGGGGTGCCTGCGGCCCCAGGCCCGGCTTCAGGGCCGACTTTCAGGGGCCGCCGCTCTGTGTCAGGCTCCTGGGAGCGGGACCAGCAGGTTGAGACGGCGCAGCGGGCCCTGGTGGAGGTGCTGGGGCCTTATGAGCCTCTGCTGAGCCGGGTGCAGGCAGCCCTGGTGTGGGAGCGGCCAGCCAGGAGCGCCCTGTGGTGCCTGGGGCTGAACGCGGCTTTCTGGTGAGACCACTGGGCCCTCGGAAACCCTCCGAGGCGCGGATTCGTCAGGGTTCTCTAGGGGTCTACCACTGCCTCCTCTGTTTTCTTCGCTGCATTGGCTTTTCCCTGTATCTGCCTCATTTTGCCTCACCTCCTTTCAGGTTTTGGCACCCCAGTTCTCCCCAGGGCCCTCCAGTTGTCTTCCCTGCTTTACCTGCTCTCGCACCCCCGCCCGCACATCTGGCAGAAGCTTGTGGCCACCTCTTGAGCCTCCGGCTGTGAGCGGAGGCGCCTCTCTTTAGCAAGGAGAGCTGTGTCACTTGAAGGCCGTCACCTCCCATCTCATGTCTGCTCAAACGTGGTTTGAAGACTCTTCAGAGATTTTAGTAGTTACTGTCGGGGTAGATTGGGGGCCTGAAGAGGCATCCACTGGTGTGATAGAACAAACTGGAGCCGACTGAATGAGCATGTTGTATATCCTTTCCTTCCACTCGGAAGTTTGCGAAGTATGAGCGTCAATGGGAGCCACCAAAGCTGCACCTAGAAAGAAAATTAGAAGCTTTTAAAGAACAGTTATGAAATAGCGACTTCACCCATTTCAAAGCCACTTAGGATTGCACCTCCTCCCCATTCCAGAAATTAGGCATCCTTAGCTATGGTAGATAGGCAAGGAAATTGAGGGTGTCTAATAGTGTGTTTGACTTTTCCTGAGCTGGAAAAGTGGAACTATAAATCTGCTTTTTAGAATCTGTTTGTGTCATGCTCTGTGAACGTGGAACTGCTGCTTCTGTCATCAACTGAAGTGGACTTAGGACTTCACTGGATCTGCCGCGTTTAATAGGTTTCTATTCAGAACTAGGGAAGTATTGGTGATTAGACTCCACAGGAACAGACGCGTAGGGGGCTCAATGAAAGCAGGCTGACCTGAATTAGCCTGAAACAGCAAAATATGTGGTTCCAAAGACACTTTTTTTTTTTTTGCCAAAAATCTATTTCCCTTAAAATTCTTGGGTTTAAAACCGAAACATTTATCCTTTGAAGGATTTTCATTGAGTGGGAGCAAAACAAATAATTCCAAGTTCATTGACAGGAAGACACAATGCTTTACTAAATTAATCTTCCCACAGTTTGGAGGAGACTAAGATTAAAGGTCTCATGGCAGCCTCTGGCATTCATTGCTTTAGCAAACTTGATAAACTATCTCTAAGATCATCCTTGTTTATTTCTGGTTGTGCTTCTTTCCTTGATCCCAGTACCTACTTCCATCCTGTTCTTTTCTGTCAGAAACCCTTAGCTGTAGCACCTCATCAGGAACACTTTCTGAAATGACCTTTCCCTTCACCTCCCCATCCCATTCCTTATCCCCAGCTCATCCAGTCAATCATAGGACTGTACTTCTAGGGGAAAAGTTTTCTTCAGTAGATCGGTTTGTATCAGTGTTGACTGACTGATATGTGAACAGTTTAACATCAAGATTTAAATGAATCCTGATAAATCAAGAGTTTATTAATACAGATGAGTTAGTGGCATGTTATGTTCAAGGAGAGGCCTTTCCACTGCTCCTTTCAGGAGGGTTCTGGAGCCTCTGCCTGAGACACATCTTTAAATGTTAGTTTTAATTTGCTGCCCTCCCCCAACTGTCTTTACTTAAGCTTGTTAATAGTCTATGTTTAGAATCTCACTCTGAACTCCTTTTCTACTCTGGGTCTCTTAAAGCATTGTTGTGATTGATCTTTATCTCTGGCATTTCCTGGTAGCTTGCCTGCCCTGTATCCACAATTCAGCTATTGCTTGTTGCATTCCCATCACTCTCTAAGTAGGTGGAGGAGAAATATAGCAAAATGAGGGTGTGACTCTTGAGACTGATAGAGCAATTGGCTGTGTCACTTGTGGAGAGGACGCATACCTGACAAGAGTCCAGGGTTAAGAGTAAGTGATAAGGGTAGTCTGGCATTGGCGTTCATAGAATTGCTTTAGGAAATGAGTTTACTTGGGAGGTAGTCAAGAGATTCAAAATAACTTCATATTCCAGTATTGTCATATTGAGTATGGGTGTTGACATTTCACTTAGGAATGTTGAAGAGTGACAAAATGCTTAGGGAAGGGAGGAGAATCTTTAGCTCAGGTCAAAGAGAAATCAAATCTTAAATACCTTATTTTTCATTATTTGGAATAATACATCATTAGCTGAGATATGTTATACATTTGAGGTATTGGAAGATTAGATAGCAGTACAAAAAATTAGCAGAATTCTGTTAGCTCTTAATTATATTTTGTACTCAGTCAAGGTTTTTCTGTACCTATGAAGGCAACATCTTATAACTAAATAAAACAACAACATAAACAATGAAAATACAGATACCTTGCCACTGTTGTGTTTTAAGACTTTCATTTTTTTTTCTCCAGCTTCCAAAGAAATTAAGGTGACCATATCAGAGACCTTAGTTGCTTCTGGTCACTGATAATGTCATTATCTCTGGATAATAATAGGAATGTCAGGTCTACCCTTCCAATAGCTTGTATTTTGCCTCAACCCCACCTGTTAATGAGTGATTTGGGGGAAGAATATCTGAGTCAGCCAGAGTGTATTCTGACTGTATCAGAAAAGAACAGGTTGAAGTAACTTTTTGGTTTGACTCATCCTGTAGGCGATAAGGGGAGGACCAAGGAGCCCTGGAAATAAATGTGTATGAACTCCAAGCCCCCACCCCACCCCTTTCCATGGAGAGCACATGGTTCTAGGAGGGCTAGGTATTTTCAGAGCCCCTTTTTAGTTTTTAACATTGTATGATTGTAGGTGGTCTTAGGGATAGTGATTTAAGGCAATTCCCAAACTGATTCTCACTTGAGATCTGTCAGAATCTGCTTTTACAGTCACTAGTCTGAGTTAGCTATACTATATTCTAGGGGATATTATACAGTCTAAATTTTCACAATTGAAAAAAACAAAGTGTCCCCCCTTCAAAACCCTCCTAAATAAAAGATGACCGGAGATAGGATTAAAGGTATATAGCAATTCTAATTTTAAAGTTAGAATTTGAGTAAAAAGCAATAGTGAGGAACAGGAAATGGAAGGGGAGGGCTGGTTTAAGTAGAAACATCTGTGGAAAAAAATCTATACATCAGATTTCTGATGAAATCTGTTGAGCAAATGTTTTTGATGATAGTCTTTGGAGACTTCTTGCTGCTTTTGGTAGCCAAAAAGACTCCCAAGGATGCCTTGGCTTACTTATTTTTTGCCTCTTACCATCAGTTTTTATCTGTACTAATTGTAGATTGCGTGATTTCGCTCCATTAACATACATCATTAGCATCTAGCTGGTTTCAGTTCTGGTTTTGTGCAAGCAACATTTCTCACTACATGATATAGGTTAGGTTAATTTTTTTCATTCTAATTTACCAGTGACTGGCTCATTAACCAGACAGCCACAAGTGCTGTATAATAATGGGCCTTCTGTCCCTACAGGATGGGCTGCTTTGTTCTCAAGTGCCACTGAGACAAGCTTATTCTGTAATAACAAAGGAACCCAGAAATAGTGTCTTCTCTGATTGAAAAAGACATGTGATCTTATTATGATTATAAAAATTTACCTGTACTTATCATGAGGATCCAAGGTAGAGTTAACCTTAAAAATATTGTTTGATTTTGGAGTTGCATGATCTTTCTGCATACCAGATTATTTTTCCAAGGAATATTTTATTCAAACCGGTAATTCATTGGATTTTAGCCACTAATAAAGGGAATATGGACATTTCATAAAAACATACAATTCCCCCCAAAATAATCAATGGATATATAAAATTGTATCTCAACAGTGCTATGACTAAAAAAATGTTAATGCCTTTTGACCCAGTGATTCCATTTAAAGTAGTCAGTCATAAGTAAGGACAGAGATTTATGCTCAGGGATACATAGTTAAGCTTTTTCACATTAAAATTGGAAGCAGTTCAATTAGGGAAATATTTAAAAGACTGTACATATGTATGATGTAATCATTTGCAGTTTTTGCTGCTTTTCTGATGACACAGATATGTATTTGTGTATTATTAAATGAAGGAAGTTTTTACACCAGATATAGCTTATACTGCCATGGAGTTTTTATATGTGACTTGCATAAATGAAAGGAATAACCTCTGTTCACATTTTGGGCATAAATGTGGATGATGGATCCTTTAAAGAATGTTGTATTATGGAAAATTTAAAACATACACGTAAGTAGATAGAATGCTATTTACTGTCATATTACCCACTTTAAAATTTTCTAACCCATGACCAATTTTGTATCTTCTATACCCCAGTTCTTTATTACCTCCTTTATTGTTTTGAGGCAGATCCCGATGTCATATAATTTAATCTGTAAACACTTCAGTATGAGTCTCTGAAAAATAAAGGCCAAAAAATACATTCCCATTATCACATGTAAAAAATTAGTGATCCCCCAAATTAATTATTCCAGTCAGTGTTCAAATTTCTAATTTTCTCATAAATATTTGTCTTTTTTTTTTTTTAAAGATTTATGCATATAAGAACTGAGGTATAGGCCAGAGGTATAGGGGGGGCGAGAGGATTCACCAGAGAGTGGGGAGCAGAATAGGTAGATCCACTCAAATACACTGCTGAGGGGAGCAGTGAGTGAGACAGGAGAGGTCTGCTGCACCATGTGGATGGCCGATAATATATATTTTTAAAAACAATCTGTTTGAGGGCCTCCCTGGTGGTGCAAGGGGTTAAATACCACACTATGAAGCAATCCACAACCTCTGAGGCATGAGTTCGATCCCTGGCCTACTTGGCGAGGCAGACCTCTCCTGTCTCACCCGCTGCTCCCCTCAGCAGTGTATTTCAGTCAGTTTGTCTGTTCTGCTCCCCACTCTGTCCCTGGTGGATGCCCCCGCATCTCTGGCCTGATCCCAGCTCTTGTGTGCATAAATAAATAAATCTTAAAAAAAAAATCTGTTTGAGTTAGGATCCAAATTTAAGTCCGCATAATGTGACTGATAGTCTGTTTTTTACATCCCTT